TTACAAATTGTTTGTAATGAAAAAACGAAAGATACTCCCAAACAACTAAAAATAATTCTCCAACGCAAAAACTGAATAATCAATAACCATAAATGACTGTGATTACCCCAAGATCTGTGATAAATTTCAATATTTAAGTAAGAGTGTGGAATAATAATAACGAGTTTGTACTTGAGATTTGTATTGAAGTAATGGCGCAAGGTCTAAACAATCTGAAAACGTTGGGTAGTCTAGGGAAGTGATTCTGGTAAGCAGCCAAAGTGAGAGTGTAATAGAGCTCTCCATGGAGAGAGTCTGGAGTGGGTATAACGGGCTAACGGCAGAGACTCAACAGAGTACTCCAATGTGAAGGGAACACCAGAGAGGGAGTTTGCCAACAGGAAATGGTGGAAAGGGAGCGAAAACATTTGGATGGCAACGGGGCTAATGCGGGATTACCCAGGGTAACTCCTCCAGCTACTGCTTCGCAATTCAACAATTTCACCCTCTTTCCCCCCGTAACCCCCTTCCACCCCATTCCACCTCTTCCTGCACTCCACTTTCGCCGCTCCTTACGATTTTTCTATCGATACAATCCACCGCCTCCCCCAAAATATTTGCCAATCAATCCCTCGCGCATTCATTTAATAACGATATATTGATCAATCCCATCATCTCTTTGATAATAAATAAAAATCTCATGCCCCCCTCCTCCCCCATTTATGCATCCCCGCTGAAATTATTCATGAAATCCACAGGCGAGAAAATATTACCGAACTAACACTTCCAACGATTAAATAATCATTTTCGATTACACGAATTTGCAGCCTCGCTTTGAATTTTATTGCATCTACACCGTAAATTATTGTCATGATGCTGAATCAACTGGGCATTGTGGCATTGAATAATTATGCCCTGACGCTTCATTTCAATTCCCCTTTACCCCCTCAAATCTGATATATTTTCCACCGGGGAAAATACATCCCATGAATGTTAAATCATCCGACCCTCTCCCCCTTCCCCTTGAGAGTCGATTTACCGGAAATTGAGTTATCAATTAAAAAAAGAGAGACCTGAAATTGCGAAATCGAGTGAGTTTTTTCAAATCTACGGGTCTGGGGGTGAGTGAAAACTCTTTGCTCAGCGGAAAATTATCGGCGCAATAACTGCTGATCTGATGGTTTTAATTCCCGAGGAAAAATACGCATTCTGAATTCACAGTTGATGTTTCATTTTGGAATAAATAATTTATTTCAACCAAATTATTCAGTTCTTCAAAATTTATCAAAATTTATGGGGCATTTTCTCTTATCAATAAGTAATCAATTTATGAGGTACTCATAAAATCCGCTTTGCGCGCGGATTTTATGAGATGAGGGGAGAGAATTAAAACCAGCAAATTATTTTAAACAAATAATTTAAAGATTTTCCAAAAATGTATGTTTCGGCTTAACAAAAATGCTTTCTACAATTTTCAATTTTTTAATTAAATTGAGATTTAATATCTCATGTATATTTTTATTATTAATTTATTCTGTTCTTATATATGTTTGTACATAATATATTATATATATTATATATTGATATTGAAAAATATTGAAGAGAATGTACAATTGGATTGAAATGAAATATTTATCCGTTCTCCCTGAGGGTTTACTGTGAAAGTTTAAGGTAAATTACCGTTAATTGTGGGTATTATGTCACGATGAGAAGTATTCCAGAGAGAGGGCAAATGACTCCATTACCCAGGATTCGATTTAAACCTAGTTTGCTTAACACAACCTCGGACGCACCTAGTGAATACACTCGTCTGACCAATCCCTACAGAAGAACCACAGAGTTGCGGTACCTCCGCTTAACCAACCGATAAGCCCCCAGGTCTAGTCCAACTGACCCATCCGCGGAAAATAATTAACCTCACGGCTTTCACCAACGATAATGGCCATTTGTTTCATTCGGCTGTGGATAGCGAACGGCCCTTTGACGATCGGGCATAAATTTACTCGAAGTCTCCCCATTGTGCCATTTTGTAATGGGGGGGAGAAGGGGGGAAAGTACAATTGAATTAATTCTCGGATCAATCAAGTGGTCGGTCTCGAATAACATCGATAAAAATATTTTTGAATCAAGTGGAAAGTATAATTCAAATTCAATTATTTATATTTTCTACATAATTTATTCAAGTATGTAAAACATACTTTATTTAAATATAAATAGTTGAGTTATACTTGAGCAAGTATAATAATATATTTACACCGAGTATACGTTATACTTTAAAAAAAAACAACTCGAATGAAGTATAAAGTGTACTTGAACTTTTAAAAGTCTTTTAAAAGTTTTTTTAAAAATATATAAACCGTTCCATCAAAGTCATGGAAAAATCTGGAAAATTTAATCCATTACAAAAAAAGAAATATCCAGTCAAAATGAAATGATCCATCGATTTTCCAAAACACTCGGCTGGTGATTCATTTTTATTATTCATGACTCTGATGCTCCGCACTGGATGGGATAAAAATCCATAAATAGGAAAACAATTTTGGCCGACAGTAAAATGCAACGCGACGAGGGAAAGTTTCGTTGGTAACACCATTTGTACTATATCGGTAAGCGTGTTTGGCATAGTGATGGTGCCAAGGTATGGTAGCAAGTGGTACTAATCTGTTGGCTCATGTGTGTCTCGGCAGGTCTCCCAGGAGAGGATCGAAGACCCGCAGTCTCTGAAATATTTAGTAGTGCCAACCCCTTTCCACCCTCGAGTCGGTGACTGCGGTCGTTAGCCCTTCATTTTCTCTTTTATTTTTACAGATAATGTCGTAGCAACGAGAAGAGAGGATAACCCCCGCGAGCTCGCATTTATCGTTGTAAAAAAAATCAGGAGCCATTTTTGTCGTTTGGGATGGGTATGGAAAGTCCTTGCAGACTTTTGGGGTGAATACGAATCGGGATGATAATTGAGGGGAAAAAAGTCACGGGGAGTGGAATTTCAACGGAGGACATGCGAGACAGGCCGGAAAACGAGTTTATAACAAGTTTGGTGACGTGAGAGCTGTGAGAAAATACAAGCCAAGAGGAATTATACTTCTGACAGAAGCCCATTCAATGCACTGATTTTTTTTTAACTAGATGAGAACAATACTCTATCGCCGTTCATGTGATTGAACCAATTTATGGAGTAATAGGGGGTTGAATAGTCGTGAAATCGCGCAGGGAATATCATCCCGTGATATCACACCTTCGGTTGTTGCTGTTAAACCAGCAACAATTCATCTGGAAAATTCGGAGTGATTAATTCCACTCCGGGATTCGATGAATTATAATGAAGAAGAGGATGGTAATTCGTACAAGCCTGGAGGTAGACGATGACGAACCACACGAGGAACCCTGGACAACCCATCTCAAAAGCCACTTATCAATCCAAATCCAATAATTCGACTAGTTGAATACACGTTTGACTGAGGGAAATCGATAACCCCATCCCACCTCGCTCAAACGCCTTTGTAAATCCGTTACAGACGCTTGAAAAAAATCATTTCAATCCCCTAAAATCATCTCTCCGCCTCGTTAATTCGTAGTTAGTGATCTATTTCAACCGACAGAGAGCAGAGTTGATGGAAAACTGTCATCAAGGCCAATGACCAGGGGAAAACCACCAGACAGCCGACCCCCCCGCCCGAACATGTTCATAAACCGGAAGTAGATGAGATGATCCAACATAACTGGCCCCTAAATTCTTGTTCAACAACCAGGCGCTATTTAATGCACCATCATTACCCCATCACTCCAGCCGATTCTATTTCGAGAACACACGACGTACCCAAAATTCATAAATTTTCCCAAATTCAAGGACAATCCTGGATTTTCCAGAAAAAAAGAGAAGGGGAAATGGAAATTTCCCTTGCAAATTACCCTGAAATTTCGCAAAGACCAGAAAAACCCATTGCGTAAAATTTTTTTTAACATTGTATCCACCATGATTTTAATCCTCCCTGTCGTTTCATCACATTTTGCTGTCTCCCTCCCGCCTTTCTATATGTAGCTACATCCCACGGGAGGAATAATTACCCGCGAGAGGGCAAACCGCATTGAATATTTCAGGGTGGATGGCTGCTGGCAAAATATAAAACGAACACAAGCCCAGGTACAGCCCAGGGACTGGGTTAGGCGTTAGTGAGGTAACCTGGGGGTAACCTGGGGGTAACCTGGGGGCAAGGGAAGATGGGAAAAGTGGTTTCGTTCGGTTGGTTTTCCGAGGCCTTCGGGCTACGGCCAGGGATTAGGAGAAAAGTTATGTCAGGCATTTTGCGGCCAGCTTTGCATAAGTCTCCTCACTCTCTTCCACTTTCCTCCTACTTTTCACTCTTTCCACGTTATTTCTTCTCACTCTCATCCACTTGTCCCTCACACTCACAACCACTTCTGCTAAACGTTACGGCAGTTAACGAAACCCACACCAATTTTCTGGCTTAACACTCATTATTCCCACGCTAATTAGCAAATAAGAGGCGACTTCTGTTGTTACTCTCGCCGCATGTGATCAAAAGTTCTCACTCGCGCGCTCCTAATGTTTTCGAAATTTCAAAATATTCTCATTAAATAATCGAGAAAAAAATCGGGTTTGTATCTCATTGTTAATAATTATTATTATTTTAATTATTCGTGAAATTCCCTACAAATCGAATTTGATAGCTTTTCTGGGAAAATTCTGGAAAATTTTTCAACAACGGAATTCCGTTTGCAAGAATTCCAAATATTTTTTTTTTTTTATTTTTAGAAATAGTTGAATTAAATTAAAAAAAAATAAATATTTAAAGAATCATTATGCATGCTGAAACATTTGAAATATAAGGAAAGGAGACATTTATTCTCCAATTTTTTTTTCCAATTTATTCCGAATTGAAATAATAATTAATGAATTGATGAGATCGATTTGAAATAATAATTAATGCATTGATGAGATCGATTGATATGGAGAATAAAAAAATAATAAGACTGTAATGGATGATTTTGGATAATTGCAGAATGCCTAGAGGACAAACAAATTGGTCGGATGAGGCGGGCAATTCAAACAGTATATCGAGGCAGAGTAGATCACCTAGACAAGCATCACCGAGCTCAAGAACCTGCACACCTCAGCACGATGATTCTCATCATCCGCCATCGTGCAATGGCTTCAGATTCGGTGTCTACGGCTGGAGGAAGAGATGTTTGTACTCTCTGGTACTCGGTCTTATGATTATGGTTGTACTCAATCTCGCATTGACTCTCTGGCTCCTCAAAGTCATGGAGTTTAGTTCAGTGAGTATAAATTATTCATTCGACTATAAATCAATTCAACCGATCAACAGTCTTGTGCAATAAAAAAAATGATAATTGAATTGAATTTAAGCAAATATAGCTGATTATGTGTTTCATCAATCGATAAAAAATAAAATAAAAAAACCGTGTTCCTACAACTGCATGAGAAATTTTAAACTTTGTTGAATCAACAATATTTATAGTCAACTCCAGCGAATGTGTATTTAATTCGACCGGATCGAAGAAAAGGATTTAATGCAATTCTTTAGTTTATTTAATTTCTGTCAACCGCGTTTTTCTGTCAGTATGGGAATATCGAGGATAATGACTGGTCAATGTTTCGATCGACTCAATCCCTTCCATTGGCGAGTGGAGGAATTGTTTAGGGAAATTGCCACGATTGGAAGATGAGAGGCTTGACCTACGGATGAACCAAGTGGTTCTTGTCTTGGCTTTTCGACAAGGAGCTCCAACTTTTCGACGGCTATTAGGGCGGACTTCTCTGTTGCGGCTTAAAATTAGTTTCGGTCTACTACAAGCTTGGATAACAGGCTGAACCACTAGCCCTCTTGAAATATGTTACACCGAGAAGGTTCTGACAATCGAGAATCAGAGAGCCGTCACTTCTAGTTTATCCAGAAGAAAAATTACCTGTCAATCAAATTTATTCAGGCTAAATCAATTCGAGATGAGAAAATTTATTCTCTCCGAAATGATATCATTTAATTTCCAATAATTCATCTATTTCTAATTTATCAGTTAATGATATCAAATGTCCGCGATTTTTCAAAAATAATATTCACCAGAAAAATATTATTCGTGTGAACTTTTTGAAATTATTGCAATTCTATTAACAAATTTGATAATTATACCCAGAAAATTCAATGAATTCGGGATCAAAGCTAGAGGTCAAATTCGGGAATTGGTGAATTTTTCGAAAAATTAAACAATATCCGGTAAGAGCGCCGTGAAATGAGAATAACTTCATCAATCAATAACCGGAAATCTGACTCGAATAGAAATTCATCGGTATTTTCGTTAGCACTGAATTCGATAACCCCCGTAATAACTGTGGCGTACGTCATCAAAGTGTCGCATTGTAATATCAATTTGAGATACATTGAACATTGAGAATCCAAGGGGTGAAAAAATCGATAGAACATCGTTACCCGCTATTTTCCCGTGACATTCAAGTGTTTGATATTCGCAAATTGAGATGGATGCGGGATAAGTGGGCCAGTCTGCACAGCCCCGAGGTCATTCACTAATTTGGAGATGCTCCATTTACACATGACATTTAACCCGACGGATTTGGACGCGGTTTAATCGATCCCAGTGACATTGACGTACGCCAAAATCACCTTATGGCGGAGCCAAGGCGTAATTGTCTGATGGATTGACATTCGCACCGCAATTTTCTCACGACTTTCCCATAAAATGTTATATTTCGGTCACAATACAGGTGGCTCTAGAGTAATATGGATATTTCTTTATTTAAATCCGCATAGACGGAGAGAAAAATACCGGAAAAACTACTTGACGTGGAAAAATGAAAGATGGCCGATAAATTTGACCACTTGCTCCCCAAAATTCCCTGTACTGTCACGTATTTTTTTTCAAACTCGTAAAACTTGAATCCGTCAACAAATAGACTAATGCTGATTTTCATGGCATTCTTAAAAAATAGTAGAAATAATATTGATAATTCTTAGATTGTCAGTGCGCTACGCGTTGTATAGCAATTTTTTTATTAATAAATTCTTGCGCACACGGAAAATAATTTTAAAACGTTATAGACCCCGGGATTGGCCGTCGGATAACTCGGTGACTTGTTCGCACCCGTCATTGTTGAGTAGCTCTCGGTGTTATCGAATTTATACGAAAATCGAGAGCAACTCCGGCCGATCCACGTCCAATGATCCCCCGATGGAGAGCTAAATTCGACGGGAATTGAGTATCAATCCGCCTGCAAGGCTGTCAGTATCACGGAAAATATCCCGTGGGAAATGTAAGGTCTCTGGCTCGTTTTTTCCCATTCCTATTTCTTCGTGTTCGGGGAAAAGTCCGTCTTTCTCTTCTATTCTCGTCATTTCTGTTCCTCGATTCGATTTTCGCCGATAAAATTGAAAATTACTAACAATTGTATTTTTTGGGATCCAATAAGCAAATAAAAAAAAATTTCTCCTTTTTCATTTTTCTAAATATAATATGTGGGGCAGAACGGATCGACTTTTTGGAGGTGGCGTGGACTAGGGTAATGATTCTCAAATGCGCGCGATTTTTTGAATTGTTGACATTTTTTGAATTTTTGACTTTTTTTGAATTTTTGACTTTTTTTGAATTTTCGAAATTTTGTTACGACGCTCTGGGGGCGGGTCCGTCTCCTCTTACAGGATTTAGTCTGACGGCTATCCGAGATATTTCGAGATCAATTTCCTTTCTTCTTTTTATATTAGAATGAGATATCTTTTAAAGTGATCTTAAAGCATTCATAAAAAATTCATGGGTTTTTGGGAATTTAGTAATGGATTTTGAATCGACTGTTTTATGTCAATTAATCATCAAAAGCCATAACTTTAATAAAAGTATTTCATGTACTGGAATTTAATCCTTCAAATCTACACTGGAACTTAATCCTTCTTGTGAGGATCGATGCGATTCTATGCATAGTCTTCTATTTTTTCATTTTTTTTTTAAACTATTCTAAATCATGATTGATCATGAGTGAACAATCCATCTCCCAGGTCAATCAATGATTCAGTAATTATTACCAAATATTCAATTATCCCTAAATCGACTGCCTTATTTCGTAATTTACCGAATTCTTCTACCGGCGCGGCAAAAATTGAACGCAATTCGCTCGATGAGAGATGAGAATATTTCGAGAGATAAAATCTCAAGGTAAAACTTATACAGTAGTTCAGGAGACGTCACATAAATCGTAACAACGGGAATTCTCAATCTTTTCGCGTTATGTGTTCGCAGTTTCACGAGTGGTAAAAAACTATCGTTGGACACTTAGCATATATCTGAGAATATTTTATGCCCAAACTCCATTCACTGTTATCCATCATTCATATTCGATGAGTTACCGGTGCCAGAAATCTCTCAGTGGTTGGGCATCTCTATTCTTTGCGACTCACTTCAGTGGGAGATTGCAACTTTCTGGTTCATTGAAATATCGAGAATTTTTCGAATACTTGAATTATTTTCCGATTATACCGTGGAGCCTTTGAAAAATTTTAATCACGTCATTACCCCTCAAATCGGTTAGATTAATTCATTTTTTAATTAATGAGAATTTTGCGAATAACGCACGGAATTCTTTCGGTCGGATAATCGATTTACAAGGAAAAAATGTATGCAAAGAATTACGTATTATGTAGGGCATTTTTGGCGGCCATGTTTTTTCAATTTATAAAGAATATATCATGTCTACAAACTTATTATTTTTAACAATATAAATTGGATTCGTTTAAGATATTTTTTATATTTTTTGAATTTCAGATTTTTCCTAAAATTCTTCAAAATTTTTTCCCTCAAATTCAAATCTAGACTTGAAAATATAAAAAATTCAAGCCCCAACTGCTCGGAATTTTCTCAACATTTCAAAACGAATAACAAATTTTCAATTAAAAATTCCTCAAAAATCACAAATTTGAAAATTCACCCCCCAAAAAAATACCCCTGCCTAGTATATACTCTACAATTGACGGTAATAGAATAAAAATAAAATTTCCAGAGTTAATGAAACAATAAAAAATGGCAAGATGGCAATTATCTGATTGGCACTTTGAGATTCAGAGTAATCCTAACCCGTCACCTCGCCCCTCCCATTCTTTTCCACCTGCAAAATATCCCCGATCCAATTATTTATTTCTCCAAATATGACATGACTAAAATATGTGAAAATTGGTGAGAGCCCCCGGATGATTTTAATTGCCCAAGGGGTGGCCTCTGAGAAACTCTCGATGCACCGGAGCAGTAAGTTTTGCCGAAGAAAATGCCCTCGCCCCCTGGAAACAATAAAGCACCAGTGGGTATCTCCCCAGGAGTTTCCTTCTTACCCACTTTACTCACTATACGAGAGAAATGTTATGCCCTGAGACACACATTTGAATGTACGTGTGCATGTACACGTGGGGTTGGGGTTAACACTGTTGGGTATTTCGCATCGGTAGCCCGTACGTTATACCCTCAAAATTCATGGCACCGTACTCCCTATATATATTGCACTTGCACTTGGTGGGTATAATGGATATATCCTTTAGTACTCTGCAAGAAGGGGTGGCCCTACCACCAGGAGAATAGGTTTTAGCAGTGTTGGTGTGCATGACCGAGTCCTCTACCTTCGTGGGTTATGGGGATCCTAGTGTATCTGTTATATTACAGGAGGGGGTGGGTATGACCCGTGTATGTAAACTGTTAGTGCCAATATACTATGTTGTCCGGTATGACCCACAGGGTGACTCTATCTTGAGAATGACGATTCATGGGGTGTGCTATTTTTATTCGGAGCAAAATCGAATCGTTCCACATTTCAATTAATTTTTCCTTACCAATGGAAATCAATTTTGTTTTATTTTATTTTATTTTATTTTAGTTCTTTACACTGAGAAAAAAAATTATTTTTGCCAAGAATATTTTCTTCCCACAAGTAAATCTGGCGATCACTGTATAAATACTCCCATAAGACTTACTAATGCCAAATATATTTTCTTGTGGTTAATAAATATTCTTGACTAAAAAAAATTTTTTTCTCAGTGTACTTATGACCGTCGATTATAATCCCAAATGTATGTAATGAAAAAGGGATTCCCCACTTTTTATGATTCCAAAAGTGTTCAAGCTTTCAATCATTCGTTTTTCATTAATGCAGAAAAAAATATATCTTGGTTGACACAAACTCTGATTTTAAGAATATTTCATGAAATTTATTGGTTTATTAAATCCGAGATCAATCCACTCGAAAGAGTTTTGGAGATTTAATTAATTAGAGATGTTTCAAAAGTGAATTTCACGTCCGAGCTAGTAGTAACGCCCCGCCATTGTCAGACGCAAATCAGATGAATTAATTCTCGATTAATTAAATGACGATTACGAAAAGGTCAGACATAAATCGCGCAGAACTTCTCCCCAAAGTGATGAGAATAAAAAGATAACAACGAATTGAAAGAGCCCCTCCATTAATAATGCCCTCAGGCGAATAAAGTTGTTTGAATTCTGCCTCGATAAAAAAAAAAAATCCCATCATTCGTAGAAAAATAAATAGCGTCGAAGTGAAAGTTCAGTTCATTATTACCAAATCATCAACCCATCATGGTTGCTCATTTTTCCCTCAAAAAAAAAAATAAATAAAAAAACGCTCACCCCTTAACTCTCACAAATTGATTCAATCAACAAGTGCAAATGACGCACTCGTTATTAATACATTTCACCTGACGTTCGCGTTATAATAACGAAATGAAAAATGAGACACGAAAGTTCACGTTTCGCAATCTCCACAGAGGCCAGAATAAAATCCCCCAAATTACGCGGAATGTCTCTCGCATTTACATTTTCAACACCGAGTAATTACAACCCACTGAGTGTGGGCATTTTTTTTTTTACTCGTCTGTTGGCGCACAAACTAATCCACCACATATAATTATCCATTGCCGGATGGACGCCCTTTTCCCTCTGCCAACTTTTGACCAGCAATCCGACTCCGTTGGCGCGTTAGTGAAGCACTTTCCTACATTTGAACCCCTCAGGGCTCTCTCTGTGCACCCGTGCAATTTCGTGTTATTTTATCGTCACCACCGCGCCGGAGATTAAATCAGAGAAATCCACATTATGTTCTTTTTACCCCTCTGGGGGCCATACCTTCCCACGTCAACCCGATGTATGGAATTACTTGTAATTGCATCCATTTCTAACCCCCACCTCGGCCATTCAACCGAGTAATTACCACTTTTTTATTCAATTTTCAAACACTTCTTTGAGGATTCTTGAATATAATAATAATTAAGAATTATTAATTATTATTATGTGGGAGGCAGGATAAAATTCAATGAATCAGAAGATTTAATGGGGGAAAAATCAATCGTAAGAATTCACTACTCCACATTTTACTTTTTCATTACACTAATCTCATTACAATTAATTGATTGAAAAATTTTAAAAATGTTAAAAATTTCTATATAAATAATTTCAAGGTCAGAAGCAAAAAATGAGCGATTCAAGGTTGATGGCATATTTTTTCAGAATTTTGAAAACTCAAAAAAGTAAGAGAACAGGAGTGTAATTAAAAGAGAAAATTCAATTTGCAAAAAACACTGGGAGACTTTTAGACTGGCTCCAACATTTTTTGGCGAGAAAAAAAAATCACTGGGAATGAGTTAAAAACGCTTTTCCGCGAGTGTCCCATTTAACCCCCGTGTCCCGTTTTCCACGGTTAACCCGTAATAGTTAATTTTAATATTTGCACGCCATTATGTACAAGAGTATGTGAAAGCTAGTGATTATTCCAGAAAATATTAAAAGACTCTCCACTCTGCTCTCCCGGTGAAAATTTAATCGGCGACAAAAAATTCCTCCAATGCTCGCCAAACAAATAGATATTCCAGTAATAATAATTGATTAATATTAATTAATATCGATTTATTCAGAGAGCTGAAGGAATTTTTAATAATTAATCACCAAAAGATTAAATTCATATTCTCTCAACCACGGTTCACCTGAATCTCCGAATTGCCAATCGATCATGCGGAAATAACTGAGCGAAATTCCTTTGAATTTCCTCCCAGAATTCATTAAAAAATCTCAGTCTAACTGACATTAGGTAAAAATTTCCAAAATAACGGTAAATTTGAGGGAAAAATAATGGCGACGGTAACAGCGTCCGTAAAACCAAAACAACGAGGGGAAAAAGGAGAAATAAATTCAATTACCCAAGCAGTACTTCTCACGCTCAGAGACATTCATTGCTCAATTCCCAGAGGGTGAGTTTACTAAGAACCCTTACGACTGGCCGTAACAATAACGCCTAGAGGATTCGAACGCGGAACGGATATTTTCATGAGCATTTAACGCTTTAGTCTTGGGCCACACATCCGAGAACTCATCCCCTTGTTCCGGGTGGAGAGGGACTTTAACATATAGCAATATTCTCACTGGCGCATCTTCAAATGGTGGATAAGTACCCTTCCCCCTTCTCTCACCCTTCGACATCGTAGATTGCGGCATAATGAAAACCAAATAATACCCTTTAGGCGCGTATACCAGAGTAACGATACCCAACCGACTGGCTATATCCTCGGGTACGTCCCTCATAAATGAATCCAGTGTGATACTTACTGCAACTCAAGTGCCAGCTTAATTCACACTGGATTCTCTTTGGAATAGTCATTCTCCCAAGTGCAAACCCTCGGCAATATATCGGGAATAAAAGGGCTCAGGAAATGTCACAAAAACCATCCACATAAAAAATTCATTACCGATATCATACAATCTCGTATTTAATTGTCTAATTTAACTATTAAATACACTGTTACGAATTTATTGAAATTTCAAATACAGTCGTGTATATCTTTTATTATCTGAGTTTCAATTCCATTTCAATTAAAAACGCTCGGGTTATTTCGTATTTATGATCAATTTCGAGGAAATTGAATTTTTTTATGGTGAATTATGGCTTCTGCTGGGAAACCTGGAGCTCAAAAAAAATTAAGGATTTCGTATCTAAGTTTTTCATCTAATTGGCAGTATTTTAGTTTTGATTCTCTAATTATTACATTCAATTGTTCATTGATTGGATATTCGGGAAATTCGGATTTTCAATTCTCAATTGAAAATTATTGTACAAAATAATTATTAATTATTAATTATGTCGAACAATATGATATAAAATATCATCAGATGATGAAATGACAATGAAAAATCATCGAATGGAGATGATGAATAATGAAAATAATAAATCCCCAGAACTGCAGATTTTTTCGGACGAATAGCGAATTATTCCACCGCATCGAGACCAATTACCGCGAATTAAATGTCTAAAAACACATGTGACAATTTCAGGTAACAGAAGGAAATGATTTTCCTGAATAAATTAGCCCACTCAGCTGATCGAAATTAATTATCGACATCGCGCTGGTCAATATCGTTGGAATAGAGAAAATGCTTTATGGGAAAATTCAGTAGCGAATCCCCAGTGCGCAAGGGGTCAATTAATTTTCCGAGTTATTATCAAATGTCATGTGACATTGGAATGGTGTTTGTTCACCCGTAGGGCTGAATTATGCCAATAACACTCCGCAGAAAGAACTTATTACTTTGCAAGTAATTCAGAAGTTATTGGAATTAAAATTAATAGTGCAATGAGTTCAGTCTTGCGCGTGGACTTTTGCAAATTTTTTTGGAGTAACGAAGGAATTCCTTATTAATTATGTTTGGGGTTTTTTTTTTGCGGATGTACTGCGAATTTTGGGGCAATGAATTCTGTTATTTTATCGGTTAACACGAAAACAAGGGAAATAATCAGTTGACTAATGCAAACAGCTCGTATAACAATGTGAGGGCAATGTATATTTGCCTGGACAATGGCATACGCGGTTTGGAAATTGCTTCCGATCAAGTAGCCAATCATTGGAAACCAATACATGAGCGACAACAATTCCCTCATTGGGTTGTAGTCGAGAAGAGGCCCATCGGAAAAGATAATCTCCGCGTATTTCCGCTGGATGTATCAAATTTACTCTCATCCCTTTTGCTGGGGATAAAAAGTTTTCATTTTCAGGGACTGGAGTGAAATCCGGAATTACTTTTGCCTGTTATTCTCAATGGGAAAATTCGTCATCATCAAACAATTCGGAATATTATTGAAAATTTTCGTTATTTTTATTAACATCTCTATTGAATATCGGATTATTTTTGTCACAAAGGAAAAGAAATTGACTGTTAATTAGTCATTAATAATTGAGTATTGATTATTATTATTATTATTTATTAATTATTCTTGAAAATTCAATGAAATTTGGTTTTTGTGGTGAATAATTACTGATTTCTCAACAAAGGGTCAAGTTTCCAAATTGAATATCAAAAAAATTTAATTTTTTAATAAATAGAAAGTAGAGCAAAATTAAATAAATAATTGGTTAATTATTAATGACTAATTGTCAGTATAATTTCTAGTGAAATTTCAAAAGAGTGGAGGAATCAATAGTCTTATAGATTTAATTTAAAATTAACTGGAAGATAAACGATTTTTGCAAATTAGAGCGAAAAATGAAAAATTGAACGGAAGAATTATTCTCGGTGTGCGGTATTGAAAAGCAATATTATTCTTTGCATCATGGAAATCTAATGATAATAGAGTTGTGTTTATTGTGCTTCAGGAGGGTATTGGATCGCTGAAGGTTGTGCCAGGTGGAGTTGAACTGAGGGGTCAAGCTGCCATTTTAGATGCCCTCATTGCATCGAGTGTGAGGTCAAGAAGAGGTAGAAATTTAGTGCTTGAATCATGGGGAAACTTTACTGCTTCAGCAAGATCACACGACGGACGTCTATTAGCTAGATTTACGCTCGGTAAGAAATTTGAATTTACGCAATTATTACGTCCACCATAAATCAATGTCTTTTTTCTTAGAATTAGGAATTCATGTCCTCCATCAGTCATTAAAAAACGATTTTTCTATGAATTTCTTAAATTCGAGTACCTCCTGTTGTATTTTCCCCTTCCTACTAACAGCATCAATTTTTTATATTCAAATATATATTTTTACGTAATATATACGTAATATATTTTTGAAATTTTCAGTGAAAATTTTATAGATTGATAACTCTGAACATATACAATTTTGACGGAAAATTTCAAAAAGTATTTATTCCGTACAAATATATATTTGACTATAAAAAATCGGTGCAATATTCAAAATATATTTTTGAATACATCAGATAGACTTTTCAAATATTTGAATGTGCATAAAAAATGAAACGTACTATAAATAAATATTTCCGAAATATACACCAAAATAATCCAACAATATATCTGATATACATTTTGAAAAATATATTTTTTGAATATTTACAACAGACGATTAAAAAAATTCTTTTCCACGATTATAATTTTCAATCTAGAAGCCTTTCACTTCTCTCCCCCACCTCGCAAAAAAAATATATCTACAAGAAAAATTGTCTACCCCAAAGGTGAGGAGCGAGTTGACTGCATATCGAAGGGCTTTCGGATAACAGATCCCCGAGGCGGAGTGCTTTTTTCCGCAGACCGGGAGCAGGTTGTCGTGGGAGCGTCGATGTTGAAGGTAACGGGCGTCGGGGGTGCAGTCTTCCGTGGAAGCGTGCAGACTCCTTTGGTACGAGCCGAGTCGGGCCATGGCCTCAGGTAAGATATACCAAGGGATAAAAAAAGAGACAAGAAAAAAAAAAGAAACGAAAAAAAAAACCGAAATGAATAAACGAGTATAAAACCCCCGACGCTCTGAAAATCCTGACGTCGAGAGTGGATATATTACAATCGCGGACTATTAAAAAGAATCACAATTTTATTCTCTTATACCTCGAGTTGAATTGAAAATCCAATAAAATCCCGAAGATATATTTTAGCACCTCTAAACTAGAATGTGATGAAGTCTCTCACTTCTTCTTCTTCTTTTTATTCACTTTATCGCATTCTCTTCAACCACTCGAACCAGCTAAATCGAATAACAACGCATCGTAATGCCCTTGAATCCCTTCGATCCCCAGCTATCATCCGACGGTGGGGATGCTCGTTCGAGCTGAGAATAGCGAGCTCACTGCAACCTTATTCCTCTCTGATTTTTCAATTTTTCTTTCCCTTAATTCGCGGAATTTTCAGGGATATTGAATATTATTCTTGAAAACTCATCGCTACCTCCAATCTCTTCCGTGATCCTCAATCAATTAATCCTCAAGGATTCCCCGGATTCACGGATTATCACTTTTTAAATAAAAATTTATAACTACAATTCAGTGTTTATATCACAATGACAATTACTTCCGCGACAATACACTACGCCATTATCGAGTCTCAAGACAATTTAAACCATAAATTTCTCTTCGCGTGAAAATGATTCGGCGTTAAATGTTTTTTTTTTTTAATTTTAAACCAATGAAAAATTGCAATCCTTTCGCGAAGGGAAATCGAAGAAGATCATGATAGAGACGCGCAATTTACAGACGGATTTACGATTACAATAAAACTTCACTCACGTGGAAAATTATATTCATGGGATTGGATTGGATTTACGCCGATATGAAATATCGGGAAGTAAGACGTACGAGATCATTTCAATATTACATTTTTACTGCGTGAAAATTCAAAAAACAATATTGACTCTCGTATTGGTGAAAAAATATGTAATGTGGAGCGATTTTATAGTGACAGGTTAACGACAGAAGGACGTGAATGGCAAAAGAATTTATTCAACTAGAAATAACCGTTCGATTTTTTTGTCAATTTTTCCCTTGCATTGCTCTATTATTGGGCCATTGAAATATTAATAACATTTATTCAGCAATTTTTGTAAGTGGAAAATGATTTTTTTCAAAAAGAAATCTTTTCCTTAATTCAGTCAGAAACAGAAAATATTTAAACAATTCAAAATCTAGAATTTTTGGAGGAGAAAATATTTGTTTTTCCACAAATTAAATATTTTCATTAACCAACGGTTGATTTTCCACACTTCAACAATTTAAATAATTAAAAAAAATAGCCATGATAATTATCAATCAATAATTATTATAATTATCCCCTAGAAATGTTAATTTATCGTGGAATATTAAGAATTATTGGAAAAAAAAATAGAAAAATCGAGTAACTAATCGACTTTGAATTCACCAGATTGGAATCATCAACCCGTGCGCTGGAGATAAAAGCACCAGAGCGTGTGGTGATAGAGTCTAGAGCTGGTGACATAACAGCATCAAGCCTGTCACACCTTACACTCCAGAGTATCGAGGGTGCAATCAAATTTGACGCCAATTCAGTCTTCCTCAAGGGTCTCAAAGTTGGTGGTACAATTCAGAGGCACAATACGAAAGAACAACGACCAAGAAACAGCAGATCATCGAGTGACAATAGAGACTCGAGTGTTTATCAGCTGTGCACATGCGCCAATGGAAAATTGTTCCTAGCAAGACCAGAAGGCATTTGCCAGGCAGACAAGACAATCTGCTAATGTCGACTGAGGGCGATACCCAAAATGGGGATTCGCACCATTAATATTCCTTTTACCATTTTATCCAGATGGTGTGTTCAATATTTCAGACAGGTTAACCATCACTTACTAAACCTGGACAATTGATTTGTTTAAAAAAAAATTTTTTTTTTAAGTTTCAAATAACTCTCGCGCACTGGATTCAACGGCTTGTGTTATATTTTTCGATGATCGAGTCGATGTAAGGCATTGGGTGTTGTCATGCAGATAGTTAACGACAAAATGGAATAATGTAGATGAATTTTTGCCACTATTGGAGTTCGAATGAACAACGGTGCCGAGATTACCCCGCGATGTATATCTTGTATATCAATAAAACCATGCGATTATCGTTTATTGGAATCATTATTTCATTATCCCGTTTCCTGTTCCTCGTGCTCTTTTCATTGAAATATCTTCCAACCTGAAGGAGATACCGAAATTATTGGTGATACCTTTTTTGGAGATCGCATTTCGATCTGGAAAAAAGGATCTGAGAAAAATTTCGCTATCTTTATTGGATCTCGAGATATTCGTGGAGCTAATCACTTTGAATCCACGTTCGATTAATTGTTTGATGAAAATCGAAAGGAATTCCAAATTTTATAATTAATATTGAGTCTCAATACTCATTAGAAAAATTAAATATTGAATTCAATCGAATGGAGTGATGTAAGTGAATTTTTCCAATTGAACTTTGAATTCAACGAATTGCTTTCTGTTGATGAAATTCTATAGAATTGAAAAAATGGAAGAGAATAAAGTAAAAGGTAAGACGAACGGTAGAAAATTATTTTCTGTTGTGAATACATCGTCAATGGGACATCCTGGAGATAGAACTCACGAAGAATATTCGAATATTGAGTTGAATCGAATGAGAAGATGTAAATTAATTTTTCTAAATCAAATTTGAATGCAATAAATTGATTTCTGTCGATAAAAATCCATGAGGTAGGGAAAATTAAAGGGAATGAATTGAATTGTAAGATAAACTGGAAATTTTCCAGTGTGAATATACCGTCAGAGGGATATACGATTCATTAAAAATATTTAACCCACGACTAATGGATATATTGGTTGGCAAAACCGAGGAGAATAAAATAATTCAGTCTGCGGAAGTTGTCGTACGACAGGTGGATGCTGCGTTAAAGAAATGAGGGAAAATGGGATATGCTTTTGGTTCGGTGAAAAGTTGAGTGTTTCACCTTCTACCCCTTATACATCAACCTGGCACGACAGTTCCTCCGAGGCAATCTTGCGTAGTAGCCGCTTAAGGAGCTCTGACGGAGAGGTAATTTTCTCGGAATTCGAGATTAAAATTGCAAGAGGAAAGGGGAAGAAACAATGTGCGGTCAGACGCCAAGAGAGCGGGGACAATTCAGGTGAAACGGGATTCTTAAAGGGGATTGGGACAAGAGAGGGAAAAAAAAAATAAGAGGTGGACAAGTTGAATTAGTGTCATTCGGAGGGAGAAATGAGGGTAACCTGAGTAAATTGAGGGGTTATTCTTTCGCTATTTGTAAGAGGATTCAAAATTTGCCACCGTGACGAATGAATTGCTTTCTGGATTTGTTGGAGTCCGAGTCGCACTGGGTATCACTCTAATTATGTTTATAAGGGCTTCAATCAGCTTGTACTAATTGCAGAGAGGGATATCGCTAATTGGTAGTTAAGATTTTTGAGTTACCTCTAGAATGCTTCTGAATAATTATTGGCATTATTTTTTCTTTTCAATCTTTTTTTTTAGATGAGTGATTTTTCATAATTTAATTTAAGTAGAGCAGCTACTAGTTATTCATTATTATTATTGTGACTATTATTATTATTATTATTTGCCGTTAGGACAACAGTAATTTTTAATTATATATGTGGGAGTTAATAATTGCTGTTTAAATGGGAAAATTGACGATTTAAGGTAATCGATTATTTTTCTACAGAATTGAATAATTATTGAGTAATATTGTATAATAATGAAGATTGAAAATTTCAATGAGTTCACACGCTGTTGAAATAATTTTTCAGCGCTCAGAGATAAAAATTGACGATGAATGAAAATTTTGTTGTTCGAATTTCAAATTCATAGAGAATTGGTAGATAATATCATAATTTTTACAATAAATATGAAATTCCGAAGTAATCTGGCGACTGACAGTGCAATATTGTCCCTTGAAATTTCCACCGCGAGATATTTTGAATAGAATCACGGAGACAGAATGGGGTACGGGTAAAACACTGGGAAAAGCGAGGAGAAATGGCTCCTGTGAACCATGAAATTATCGCACGGGGGTACGGGTACGTCCGATAAAGCTTTAAATACGAATTAGTGGCTCCCGGGGCACGTGGAAATGGGTACCGCCATGTCGCTTCCTCCATTCGTGTATCTACCGCACGTGCACTGGTCCAGTACATTCCCCTCCCTTCCTCTTTATCCACCCGACCCCCTTTTTTCATTCCCCCTTCCTCCCCTTAACCCCCACGAATTTCGTAAACGTAGTAACCGGATATTTTCATCCCTCTGTGGAGGAATCGAGGTGGGGGATTTTTGGGGGTTGCAGGAAGTCACGGTTCGCCGATCAACCGTGACGAGTAAAATACAAAATTCGATTCCAACTCGACGCACGTCCCGGTGTATTTATAATTGCCGGTGAGCTTATTTAGTCCGGTGGATATCTCGGTAATGCCCAGAACGGACGTGTGGTTTTACGGTTTACGTTGATACAAATTGGAGTCCAGTGCGTACCCCAGGATATCAGATATTGAAACAGGGGATTTCGTTTTATGGGATTTTTTTTTGTAATGATTAATGGATTTCCAGGGTGAACGCGGCGAATCATTCAGTTGGGCTATTTAGGGTTTTTAGGGATTAGCGAATTTGGGGAGGGGTTTCAAAATTGGCGCCAAGATTATTTTTAAATTACGAATTTTCGAGGTTTTCTTTAGTTAATTCTTGTTTTATATTTTTTAACGAAATTTTATCATTTTTGATAGTTGGTTTTATAGAGGATCCTTCTGGAAATCGTTTTGGATTTTTTTAGATTTTTAGTTGGTTGATGAAACTCTCGAGATCATTTGAAAACCAATTATTTTCGATCTCGCTTTCGATTAATATTTATCTTCAATTTCTTAATTCAATTTTCCAACAAATTAACGAATTCAAAATTTTTAAGTTTCTTCGTTCAAATTGCAAATAAAATTTCCTAACACGACAAATCTGAGGAAAAATCTTCGAAAAATCGAGATCGAAATTGAGAACAAATTTTCTAACCAAAACATTAACTAATTCATCACTGGAGGATTCCATCAAGATTTCGCCTCGTGAAAAATTCCAAGTACTTTCCATTGAACTTTGAATAAAATTTTCAAACACAACTACAAAAAAAAAATTCCGAAAAATCGAGAAAAAAAATGGAGAAAAAATGCTGCCACCAGAAAATCAAGAGATGCATCACTGAAGAATTCCACCAAGATTTCATGTCGTGAAAAATTCCAAATTCTTTCCATTGAACTTCGAATTCAAATTTTCTAACAGAAAAACTACGAGAAAAATCCCGAAAAAATCGAGGGGAAAATTGAGAGAAAATTTTTAAACAGTGTAGATAGTGGCGACAGGAGAGACCAATGTAAATTCCGTGTCGGAACTGACGAACCGTAACTCCTCGGTGAGTTTGTGAGTGAGACAGGTTGACAAGGTTTGCCAGTCTCCATCATCAAACATTATGCGAATCCTCTGTTTACATCTGGATGGAACGTCCTCCAATGGGTCCAGGTGAGTTTAGAATTTAATGCTGGCTTGCATTCACAACCCCCCGAGCTCCGTTGATGCATGAATTCCGAAAGACGTAGGACGTATGGCATAACGACATCCTGGGGATACGACGTTGAAAATTCATGCTGGCAAGACCAAAAAAAAACTAAAGGGTGAAAACACTCTGGTTGCATTAAAGAAGTGTCTGAGCTTGTTTGCACGAATGGAAAAATAATTTCCCCACTTATCCGAGTGTTATTCTTGCTGATAATGTGGGGGTGTGTATGTACGCGAGAATTTGGGGTATCAATAGGCGCTGGTAGACGTTAAATCTGATAATGAAACGGCGAGAGAATAATTTATGAAAGTACACAAAATTTCTCAGCCAACATGTACGATACGGTTTATCAGGAGATCTCCGTGCTGATCGTGCGTTTATTTAAAGCGCTGATGCAAATTACCAGTGGTAGATTCTAGTTCGGTAGAGGCTCACGGGTATAATATTGAAAGTGAATTTTAAGCTTGAAATTCACTTTCGATAGATTCTATCGATCTCTAACTGCACACGTGAACCCATTATTTGACGGTGAAAAATTTGCCGAATCAATGTTTGCCATGAAAACAATTTTCCAATCGTCGTTCATGCGACTGAACCAATTTATGGAGCAATAGCGGGTAGAATAGTCGTGAAATCTCTCGGGGAATATCATCACGTGATATCACACCTTCGACTGTTGATGTTAAACCAGCAACGTTTCATCTGGAAAATTCGGTGTGATTAATTCCACTCCGGCATTCGATGAATTATAATGAAGAAGAGGATGGTAATTCGTACAAGCCTGGAGGTAGACGATGACGAACCACACGAGGAACCCTGGACAACCCATCTCAAAAGCCACTTATCAATCCAAATCCAATAATTCGACTAGTTGAATACACGTTTGACTGAGGGAAATCGATAACCCCATCCCACCTCGCTCAAACGCCTTTGTAAATCCGTTACAGACGCTTGAAAAAAATCATTTCAATCCCCTAAAATCATCTCTCCGCCTCGTTAATTCGTAGTTAGTGATCTATTTCAACCGACAGAGAGCAGAGTTGATGGAAAACTGTCATCAAGGCCAACGACCAGGGGAAAAACACCAGACAGCCAACCCCCCCGCCCGAGCATGTTCATAACCCGGAAGTAGATGAGATGATCCAACATAACTGGCCCCTAAATTCTTGTTCAACGACCAGACGCTATTTAATGCACCATCATTACCCCATCACTCCCACTAACGCTGTTTCTAGTACCCACGACGTAACCAACGTCTACTTAGGACGAAACGAGCTGTTGATAAATCCCCCAATCCACCCCCGTACACTTCTGTATCTTTCTCTCTTCCAAAAGCCCTTCCATTTAACCCCATATCCCCTCACCCCACCAGCAACTCAAGAACGCAGAGCTATTCTCTCGGTATGTGCCAGCCATTTCTCTATTACGGAATTACACCCTCCAATTGTAATTTTGTCAGAAAATTGCTCTCTTAATAAATGATGGTGATTTTTTCTATTCTCGACAGCTGGATGAAGCGACACGTGGGAATCG